GGAAGCCTCACATATCGATTTTTTCCCACAAGAAACGTCATATGTTCGTTTTGAGGGTGGGTGGGGGGGGTTACAGCTGTGACGTTTCTCTGTAAATATCATGGAAAAGTTCGATAGTTTTTTCGAATACCTTAACATTTCGGAATCAACTTTGCAGAGTATAAAAAAGAAAACAACTTGAAAGAAAACGACTATTCAAATATAAGGGCTGGTAAACTAAAAATAAAAGCTCCTTATATGGATAAACATTATAAACGTTCATTTCACATGTACACGCACGCTAACAGCTGCTTAATAATTAACTTACGTATTTGTAAACATCAGTCGATAAATAAAATGGTACATTAATATGGACAAAATGGATAAAAAAACAGCAGTTGTAGTTCCAATTCTTTTGGGGAATTTAGTAGCAAATATAATCCTTAAATAGCTCATCGATTTGTATATGTTAGCGCTAAAGTCAAAAGGCCGGGTCGTAGATCACGTTGAATAATGATCTGAAGTTATCATGCAACCGTCAACAATGTCTCAAAATACTGGATGTTTGATTTTTTTTTACAAATATACCGGGATTTCTGGACCACTTTTAAACTTAGCAAAGCGAAAAGTCCCCATTCAAGAATATGTTTTTTTCTCAAAAGGTAAAATGCTTAGAATAATTGATTAAATTGTTTACTTCGACGGTGTATAAATTAACAGCGTTTGACTTGCAAGACGTCAAAAACGGAAGATTTCAACGCACTGTCGTTTATCGCGTATTCATTTGCCAAAAGAAGTATTTACGTCAATTGAAAGCTTGTTTATTAAAGAGCCAACTAGTAGAAGCATGATCGATTTGGAGCTTTATCGCATGGTGAAAATCGATTTTGTTAAGAGGGTATCGTAAATGAAGTAAGCTAGTGTGCTCCAAAACTACGATAATTTCTATTCCTAAAAGTAACTCAGATTTCCTATAAATCATGTACATAGTCCTTTGAATAACCGGAAACAAGATTTGTAGGGTTTTAGATCGATTAGAAACGGTTGTCGTCGTGAAATTTATTTGTAAAATCAGCGCATATTTTCCCAGAAAAAATGGCGATTTAGGGTGGTCGTGTTAAAACGGCATTTTCTCAAAGTTAAAAAAGCATTTGACCTAAAAAATATATGGTGCATTTTCCGATATAATAAGGTATATCTGGGCAAAATTTGAGCAAATTCGATTTTTCAGTCGTGGCCGCTTTAGGGACCGGTCATTATTTATGGCAGGGGTGGGGGCCGAAGAGAAAGTATAATGAAGCCGGAAAAAATCATTACCCCACCTTTTTCGAAACAAAATTTCTAGCTACCCCACCGGTGGAATGCCAGAAATTTTTTTTACCCCACCCAAACCTATTTTGTTGCAATGTCAAAGGTTCAGACATAAAATATGTAATGAAACAGTTTAGTATTTTGTATGCGTATTACTTATCAAGGTACAAAAATACAAAATTGCCCTTGATGAGTAAGATCATCTGCTGTTAGAGAGTAAATAATAATTATTATAGGGTGCTTTGACCACAGTGGACATTATAATTAAAAGGGAATAGGATTGATTGGTAATACTTGTTCACCAATATCCCTTGCCCCTTATTTCTTGTGGAGTAGGCTAATTAAAGCATACCAACAGTCATGCCTTTATATTATGGGTTACCCCTACAATAGCAATGCAAGGTACTATATAAAGAATTATAGTTATCTGAAGGCTTAAAATTTGTCTACTTGTAAAATTGAAATATGAATGGGTTTTTATAGTTTGTATTCAACGCTATATTCCCTTTTCACGAGATAGCTAGTGCAACGCTAGTCCCATATTAAAACATATATTAATAACCATATGCTTCAATATTTTAGAACACTAACCGTATTTCACCACCCTATCTTTTTCCCACTTTAAAGTTTCACTGTATATAATTTGGTTTCTTTCACATTCTTGCATTTCTTTATTAATTAAAATGCAATTTTATTTTGAAACAGTTTCACAAAATATGTGCTCATGCACCCATGATTGCAACTATCTAAATTCTAAATTTCCTCTGAAATTCCTTTAATATTTCCTTTAATACTATAGACAATCACTCTGAGACAATCACATGTCATATCATATCACGGAATTTTAGAGGAATTCCTTAAGAATTCCCAAGGAATTCTTGAAGTTTATGAAATCAATTTAATATTTTAATTCGTAAACAATACAACGATACTAAAGTATTTGTCCCATGTGAGAATATCTGAATTTAGAAAGTTACTGTAAATTAATGAGAAAAAGTTGCTGTTATACTGTGTGAAGATAAAGATATTCATCCGAATTCCAAGTATGATTATATAAACAATTAAATTAATCTGTAAAACGGGTAAATAGATTTCTCTTATTTTATCCATGTATACATGATCTGCTAGTAAAGAAAAACAGCTAGTTGCCAAAGGCTAGAGTCTATTGTGAACTAGCCATTGGAATGATTCTCCAGATTCACAAGGGGCATGGGGCATATTTCATGATTTGCTACCTGAATTGTCCACATGGTTTACAAGCACATACTGGATATAAATATTAGTTATGCAATACGTATCAAGTGTAGATGCCCAAAAATTAAATCCTGAAAATTTAATAGACTGTACATATACTTTTTGAGATATGTAATGAGAGGATGTTTATATGGGGGTGAGGCTGGATGCCCGGGGTTAGGGGCTACAGACTTAAGGTCACTTTTCCTGAAGCAAGATCTCGGGCTAAAGGGGCGGGATCTCGCTTAGCTATAGCTGGGTCCGCTCTTTACACATATATACACAAGGTGAACTTTAGTAAGAAATAACAACAAAGGCAGGATCTTGCCAAAACTGGGCCAGCTTGGGTACCCTGGGGTTGGCTTGCAGTTGCACCATATAATTGATCTTCAACAGCCCCTATATATAGGCAGTATATATTTTGTCTGGTAATTGGAGTCTTTGGAGATTTTGTGTGTAAATGAATATAAAAATGACCCTTTACGGGTGGGTTGAGGGTGGTGTTTCTGTCAACATTTTGGAAAGCAATAATATTTTATTAAAAAATTAGAATAATCACATATTAAACACTGATTGTAGTATATATTGTATTGTGTGTGATTAAAGTAAGGTTATTTTTTTTACCCCACCTCTGCATGCAAGGATTTTTTGGCCACCCCACCTAAAGCAACTATTATTTTTCAGTTACCCCACCCTTTTCTCTTCGGCCCCCACCCCTGCCATAAATAATGACCGGTCCCTTATGTTTGATTTTTGTGGACATCCTCTCTTAACTATGTTATAGATTTTGTTCTGTTGTGTTAAATTTGCAAACAATTTTAACTTCCTGGCCGTATAACATAAAACTGACATGTCAACTCTACAGAGTGTATAGAACTAGAAAATACATGCATGCAGAAACCCCTCGCCTTGCTGACAAAACCATTGTATTTTCCGAACATGAAGTATTTAAAGTAGTTGTCATGGTAACACGATAATTTTGTTAAGAATATTTTTACAAATGAAAAATCCGCTAAAAATATCACTTTTAATTACATAATTTTCAATTCCCGAAACATATATATGTTAAGTATATGTTATACGTAATATAAGTTTCAATTTCAGGTAAAATTCAACTTCAAACGCTGCGCAAGACGTTTTAAAATGTTCTTTCTAAAACAAAACTGCCTTTAAAGGCTTTATCGAAAAACTTTGAGTTTGAAATAAAATGATTTCAACATATCGCAGTCAAACAACTTTACTTTCTTTTTTTAATATAATAAAAAAGTCAATCAATAAAGAAACACTGAAATTATATGCTGTCTTTTTCATTTAAAATATGCGCAACGATCAGCTTCAAAGCCGTTATAAAGCGAACTATTAATACATCAATATTTAAAACAAACCTACCTTCCTTAACGTCGGTGCCTTTACTCTCTTCTTTTAGTAATTCTTTCGCCTTTATTTTCTTAAAAAGCTTTTGAAATTCACAAAATCTTGATAATGAAATATATTTGCAAGAAATCATCAAATCAAGAAATGTTTGCTATTTCGCTGTCGTCATGCAGTCGTTATAATGCAAATTTTAAATTGGACCAATCAATGTCCGCTATTCATGACAGTCCGCCATATTTTTGAGATCACTGAGGATGACCACCAACCGAAAATTCGTTGGTGACCCACCATAGATATCTCCTATATCTATGTGACCCACGCCCGCTATCAATGATGAACTTTAGACTTCGCTAGTGCTTTCGTTTCACCGGGTATAAATAGCCGGGGGGAATTAGTACCTTCGCCCCGCACTTATGCCCGGAACGGCGCTCCGCGCCGTTGGCTCGGGGATAAAGGTACTGTAATCCAACTTTGACATGTTATCATGCGTTAATTATTGCGTTTATAAGTTTACTTTTAGGATTTAAATGGTCTCCCAATTTTCGAATGCTTTTTTTGGTCATTGACAAACGTATATGGCATTGGGAGTTCAGTCTGCAAACTTGCGGTGTTATAAAATGTTTTAAACCAGTCAATTCGATGCAAAATTGCGACTGGAAATTTGCCAAAACTTGATGGTTTATTCAAGCAACCTATAATTTTGAATCCCAAATGAGAATAATTTCAATACTCAGACAATTATAGCTTCTCAGGCATGCAATTCCCAGTGGTGGAAAAAAGTTATTTCGATCGGCATTTTAGTCTGGTTTTGATCGCAATGACACAAGAAAAGTATCATTGCGGTACGAAAGCCAAAATTCTGATCTTTGTTGGTATGGTGAAATTAAAGCACGCGTAGGAGTGTTTTATCACATATAAAACACGACGCGTAGCGGAGTGTTTTATATGTGATAAAACACGACTACAAGTGCTTTAAATGTACGATATCATGTACGATATCATGTACGATATCATGCCAAATCTAATAAATACGATATCATGTTTAAATGTACGATATCATGCCAAAGTTGGATTACCCTTTTTATTATACACCTTGTGTCAGTATTTTCTGTCTGGTTGTGTAATTCTGAAAATGGATGTAATGACTAGGAACTTTCACTAGCACGGTTTGTTTTCTTGAATTTTTAAAATTTCTTTGTGTAGGTGTGAGGCTTACGACTATATTTTCGAGGTAGCAGTGAGAATGAAAAGCAATGGACTGGATCTATGAGGAATCCTTCAATGTAGTGTTGTTTTTGCTAGTCTGTTGTGGATGTATATAAGAACAAGAAAAGAACACGCATTTTCCAAATTACTGTCAAAAGACAAACGGCTTAGAACAAAGTCAAAGTCAAGATACGTTATTTACCGAGGGTATAAAAACACCAATTACTGGTTACCCAGTAGTTTTCATGATGACCCTCACTAACCTATACAATAAATAAATCTACCAAATTTGTACAAATACTAAATATTCTATAAAAAGTCTTTTCCATGCAGAAGTGTTTATTTGAACAATATTGTTCCTGAAAGCTTGAGTGTATTACTTTTCTAAAATTTGCATAAGAAGCAATGTTCTTAATAATTGACAAGTGGTTAATAGAATAGATAGTTTGGAAACTCATTAGAATAACAATATAACTCATTATCTATGTTAGTCAATGTTTATTCATAAATCTGGTCGTTCACCGTCACGTGCGTATTGTATTTTTGCCCAACAAACCAATAGCAATGTCTTAGGAAAGTTAGCTATCCGTGACTCGAACAATAGGGTAAATTGGAAATTGCTATTGGTGGATTTGGCAAAAATACAATACACACGTGACGGTGAAGGACCATATTTATGAATAAACGTTGACTAACATCGATAATGAGTTATATATTGTTGTTCTAATGAGTTTCCAAACCATCTATTTTATTAGCTATGGTTCCACTGACGACACGCACTCGAGTGGAAAGTTCTAAGGCCAGAATCACTTTTACATTACCGCGTGTAATAGTTATATAATTTACATTTTACTTACCGCGTGTAAGTTGTTGGTTGAAATGCAGGATCGCATATTGGACTCGTGCCTGATGGCATGTAATATGTGTATATTATGGACAACTTATAGCGATATTTTCGAATCGCTTACAAGGCGGGCGTCTATATATAACCACTATAGAGGCATGCGGATAATTGGTGAATTCACGCGGGGTTGAAGGGAAGACTGAAGAAACTTGAGACGCCACTTGGCACCTAACTTGTGATTTTCCAGCGGTGCCTCTCTGAGCGTTACTTAGCACGTGGATGTGTACATACGGATTGCACTCTTCGCCATGAGAACCTCTCTCTCATAAATCAAGGGGAAAGGAATATACAGGGTGTCCCAAAAAAAACGAAAACTATTGAAATCACTTATTGTTAAATTTGAATGTCCTACCAAACAGCTGGACGTAATGATGCGTAAAATATTGACAATGTGCATGTATTAGAATTTAGTTAGGAATATCTCCTGGTAAAGTGTGCGATTTTCTGCTCCTGGGAATTAAAAACAGCTTCTTAAACAGTCTTTATGCATAACATTTACTTATGTCAATCATTTATGCACTCGTGCATGGGAACCAACAGAGCGCTAAGGCATTCAAATTCTAACAATTAAATTGTTATTGTTGATTTCAATAGTTTTCGTTTTTTGGGGGACACCCTGTATATCTGGAGCAAGACCATAAGAAAAATGAAGCCAAGATAGCAGAAATGATGGTTCAAAAGCTATGAAGGTTATAAACAGCTTTAATACCGTGCAAACGAAATACGATTTGAACGTGTTATCGTGATCCTAGCTGCTGCTACTGACAACCTAAAGTGTTGTCCCTTTTTAGTATGTATTTCTATTGTATTTTCATTCATGAACTTTTGATTCCGTGAGAAATCTGTGATGCCAACTCCTTGTCAATTCTGGTTATCTATATTATGTTCAAAAACTCATAATTAAATATTATATAAATTATATAAATTAAATTAATAATTCACGAGGAAAACACAAAGAAAAATCGCGTATCGTATCTTTATATGGAATAGAGATTTGCCTTGATTTACATAAACTTTAACTTTGATTTCTCGACTTACACAACGTATTTTTTGAACATTACTTCGCCAATGAATTTACTAGATCGATCGTTTTTGAAGCAATTTAAAACAATCGCATATGCATGCAGTGCGTGTATTATCTGACCTAAAGATACTCGGCTTCGCCTCGTATCTTTATATCTGATAAAACACTGCTGCTCATATTTTAAATAGTACGCAAAGGTTTCTAAATTATGACAACATTTTAATTCTCAAATCACATGCTCATTTCACATGTGAGATTACAAATTATTCTAATATCTAACTTTGCTATAAACTCCCGTAATTCAATATTCAGTGTTCTGTGAGGCACAGCAAAAAGTTCGTACTTCTTGTAGCTTTTCACGTATTGTTCAGTATATTATTAAAGGAAAATACTTTAATATTTTGTTTCGCTAAGTCTTGTTGTCAATATGTGAAACAAAATAATACTGAAAATATTTCATCAGGAGAGTTAAAGGCTTAAAGCATTTTAGTTCATTTTTACTAGGCCGGTTTCACAGAATTATGCATGTAAAACAGAGTACGTTAGAGGATTTTGGCAAAAATGTTCTCGTGCAAGTCAAGCTATATCATTTGTTCACTATCTATTACTTATTTAGTATGGTTTAAGATTATTGCGACATTCGCTAAGAGGTCACGTGATCTCGATCACCTTAGAAAACCAAGTGCATTTAACATGATATTGTTAATATTATAATAATTTTGAATTTTTCTTTTGGCCCACCAAGTTAGATGACTGATCCAACATACAGGTCGTTCTGAAACATACAGTTATATAAATACTGTTGACTGTCATTCTTTCTAACATATCCAGTATTTTAAAGTCACGTGACCTCTTAGTGCATGTCGCCTGCTACAGCCACGATAATTGATCACGAAGACATGAATATAAACCTCACTTGCTTTGTATACAAATTAGGGGCGGACTATTAGAAAAGTGATGTGGGGGGAGGGGAAGCAAAAATAAAAATCGCGCAGGGGAAACAGAAGCAGAAAGAAAAAAATTTGCGCACCAAAGAGACTTTTCAATACGGAAAATTATAAGTTGAAAAAATCGTGCAAGGGGTTAAATTTTAAAAAAATTATCGACAAGTTAAAAAGCCCCCCCCCCCCCATACTTTTCTAATGGTCCGCCCCTTACCTACTTCAAACTGTGTAATGTTCACATTTCAGTTTAAATTTGTAATCGGCAATTTTTATTGGAAGCTGAAGAGATGGTTCATGTCGTGAGGCCAAGCAGCGAGTATATAGGGTGGGAATTAAATTATTTTGAATATTTAGACCCTCAGAAAGCATGGAAATGCTAGTAAACTGTCGCATTTTTAGTGTGTGTTCATTTTTAATTTTGCCTGTAATTGCTCTTAAAGTTTGCCTGATTTAAAGGCTAAAATATTTAATTTACCTGAAATTACTTACGTTGCAAGCTAAATATATGGCCCTGATTCCAGTAAAAAAGTTATATATTGTTGCAAGTTTAATGCACTGCATTTTTACTGTTATCGCAGCACAAGTGGCGGCGTGAATATCAAATATTGCTTCAACTCTTTTCGTTACTCTCTCAACAGTCGGTTTGTTCTTTTTGTTTTAAATATTGCGATTGTTATGCTCGTTTTGTAGTTCCCTATACCTTTCCACTTCATTCCGTTTTCGTTTCCTTTTGGTATTTTTGCTTCGACGTCTCAAGCCTAGAAATAACGGCAACTCACAGCTAGAGCTCGATACGGGCAGTTATCTAAATCAAGGACTTCATTCTTTCGCACTTTATCGGCATTTTAACAATGATACCAATAGCGAAATCAGTTGGTACAATATTCATCGACACTTGAATTGCAATGACAAAAAAATACGTTGAAAGATTTTGTTAATTTCGTGAAACCCGTCATAAACTATCCTAAAACCAGCCCCGGAGTAGATTAGTTTCCGATATCCCTTCCTGCTATAATTCCCTGATTACATGTGCATATAGCTACACCCATACTTTAAGATTATATTGATTTTGCGTATATTTTGCTATGTGATATCCTGATTACATAATGTTCGCCTCCCTGAAAGCTACATTCATCTAATTAAACTGGTATAAAAAATGCGGTGTTATTGTAATCAAACGTCCCATCTGGATCTAAATAAATGAGAAGCGGAATGTTTATATCAGTCAAAATGCAAAATTGTGCGAAGAATCTTGTGAAGCACATGGCATTCCGGGGTGCAGGACAGTCTACAACCCCCATGCGGTGGACGTTAATAGCCCACAGGTCCGGGGAAAATTATTATTTTGGCGGGGAAGTAAGAAAATATGCTTTAATTGCAACACGCGCGTGTATCTTTACATCTGATAAAACACTAGCTGCTGCTCACGTTTTAAATAGTACATGTAAAGAAATTTTTAACATTTTTTTTAAATAGGGTAAAAAATGCCTATATTTTATGTTTTTACTCTCCCCAGGCATGCATGCAGGAATTTCCGGCCGATTAAATTGTATTGGTTCGACTATCCATGCTACCGCATTACCTCGTTGACAGCTGTTTCAAGTAACATAAAATACTTACAGTTACCAAGTGAATAGCCGAGGTTACCCAGAAACTCAATTACTATACGACGTTTGTCAAGTTTATGAAAATCTTGCACCTGGCTTTCCATCCATAGTTATTTTCCAGCACGTTTTCGTGAATTTGGCAGTGGTCGTCGTTCAAGTTTGTGCGCAAAACTCTCACGACAGATTGGGCAACGTGTGCTGTGAAACAAAAGAAAACACAAATCGTTAGTGTGTTTCAGAAGGTTAGTTGACGTAGTGTGAACTTAGAAAGATCTAAAATTGCCAAAGCTCTCAAATAAGCATCAAAATGGAAATCGTTGTTATGTCGCTGAAGTTTCTGGCAGGCTAAAAATATTGAAAAATCTTCGGATGTTTTCAGAAAATAAGTATTTTAATTTGTGGTTGATACAGCTAATCATGTGATGAAGAGAATATACAAATTAGGATTAACAGTATATGAATGATATTTGAAAATTTTGTCACAAATGTGTGATCCGCACACAGAAAAATTTGTCGGAATTTTCAGTAATTTACATTATTACGTGCATGTATACGTACTTCTTAACATGCATGAAAAAAATACGATTTTCACCCACGCATGCCTTTCAAAACGCACAGAACTCATGTTTTGTTCTTGAAAACATTTGATATATAATTCGAATTCTGGATATTCACTGCGTTCAACAATACTAAACATACCAAGTTACATACGTTGCTCACTGCCAGGCCCGGAGCTACGGGCGGGGGGGTGTGGGGGGGGGGG